TGCACATTCCAGTGGAAATGAACCTTCAGGTTAAGAATGAATGACTCAGACAGGGCTCGTCTTCTGTTCTTTCATCCACTTTGGCCAATGGGGTGGGGGAATTCTAGACATTTGTATCAAAGCCCAAAATTCAGACACAGAGAGAGCACAGAGCAACTCAGAAACAGACCTATGTGTTGCCACCAACAAACAGAGTAGGCCCATTGAAACTCATAGGCCTCTGTTACTTATTTAGCCACATAAACTCATTTCAGTGCGTCTGTTCTGAGTAGAACGAACACCAGATGCAACCTAGTTTTTTAATTTAAAAAAATCATAACCCCTACAGATACAACGCAAATGGTGGGTCTCTTGCCTGCCCCCTAATACTGGAGTAGGTGGACAAGTAGTCAGTGGCATAGCGTGGGTTGCTAGCGCCTGGAGCTGTGCGGAGTAGGGGTGAGAGGGAGGGGAACAGATGGACTATGCATGTGCATTCAACTGCCTAACGGTGCCTGTGTCACCCAGAAGACTGTAGCCGCAAAGATAATAAAAGAAGAGTTGTTCCATTGTCTGGAGAGGTCACTTCCTGGTTCGCATGGAGAAGCTGTTTTCAATTGCACCCCAAACCATTTTGTGCCTGAGGCAACCAGCCCTGTGGCCAACCCATGTTATGCCACTAGTCAGAAAATGGACAGTGCAGCTTCCTATCTTTCCCATCTGCCACCAGAATCTCCAGGGAATTCTGCATGGCCTGGTCACAATACTGGAATCAGCACAAATGCTTTAAGGCTTGCCTGGATTAAATGTGCAGATCTCAGCCCGGAGGCCACAGCATCAAGAGCCAAGTGACTGTGCAGGCAGGGCCATGACTGCATATGCTTGAGCACAAGATCAGAATTGCTTGGGCCAAATAAAGGCATTTCCATTGGCCTTTGTGAGCTGAGCATTCTCTGTGTTAAATATATATGAGTGTGTGTTTGTGTGTGTGTGTAAATATAATAAATTTCTCACAGATTTTTGATTGTCACCTTGTTCCTCCTGCCCACCCCCCTTGCTTCTGTGAATATTTATAACCAGGGTTTTGAAAAAGAGGCTTGTGTGTGGATTAAGATGCATGGGATGGGGGGGGGGGCATACAAAGGACTACACAGCTCTAGAAGCCTTTTGTTTTCGAGAGCTGTCCCTGAGCCAGGAGTGGGAGCACACACATTAGCACTAAATATTGGTTTTGGCAGCTCTCTGAGCTAGGCACAAGGGCCATTGTTCCACTTACTGGCAGCCGAGCGCTGTTTAGAATATGTAGCTGTTGTGAACGTCCAAGATGTTTCTTATTGGGCCAGGTCTGGTTTTAGTCTCAACCAGTGTTTCCCAAACTTGGGTCTCCAGCTGTTTTTGGACTACAACTCCCATCACCCCTTGCTAGCAGGACCAGTGGTCAGGGAGGATGGCAGTTGTAGTCCACAAACAGCTGAAGACCCAAGTTTGGGAAGCCCTGCTTAGTAGATGAATCAGCTAAGGCTCTTGATTTATTGTGGAGGGCCATTAGGTGAGGAGGTGCATTTCAGCTCCTGGGGCTGCAAAGGGACAGCAGTCTTGTTTAGTTTCTGAGGCTGTTCTGATGATGACTACATAAATGTAGCTGTATTTTAAAAAGTGTTTTTCTTTGAAGAATAGCATTTTTTGTTTATTGAATGATCAGCTGCCTTTGGAGTCATCACCTGATGGCAGGCACTTATACAGACTGGCACCTTGAGATCTAGAATGAAAGTGCCTGGTGAGTCTCCCTGGGGAGAGCATTCCACAAGCAGGGAGCCACCACAGAAAAGGCCCCTTCTTGTGTTGCCGCCCTCCAGGCCTTTTGTGGAGGAGGCACACAAAGAAGGGCCTCGGGTGATGATTCCAGGGTCAAGGTTGGTTCTTCACAATCAGCCATAATTACACAACCTGAACTTGCCAGCATGGGACTGAATCCCACCTGCAACAGTGACGGTCTGGAAGCGCCCACAGTCTGGAAGCATTCAAACTCCAGAGGCTCTATTGCAGAGGTCAGACTTGCCTGTAGATGCCACTGTAGATCACCAGTGTTGAAGCAATGATTCTTCAACATCAACTTTGTTGGACTGGTCATATTGTGTGGATGCCTGATTATCGTCTTCCAAAGCAACTACTCTATTCCAAGCTTAAAAATGGAAAGTGTAATGCTGGTGGTCAACAAAAGAGGTTTAAAGACTGTCTCAAGGCAAATCTAAAAAAATGTAATATAAACACCGACAACTGGGAAACACTGGCATGCGAGTGTTCCAGTTGGAGAACAGCCTTTACCAAAGGCAGTGGCGTAGCGTGGGTTGTCAGCACCCAGGGCAAGGCAAGTAATTTGCACCCCCTAACCCGGTAGGGGCAGAGATCTGCGAGTGCGAGCGCCCCCCCAGATGTTGCGCCCGGTGCGGCCGGCCCCCCCGCACCCCCCACGCTACGCCACTGACCAAAGGTGTCATGGACTTTGAAGACACTCGAACTCAGAACGCAAGGGAGAAACATGCTAAGAGGAAGGCACGCTTGGCAAATCCACACCGTGATCAGCTCCTGCCCGGGAACCAATGTCCCCACTGTGGAAGGACGTGTGGGTCCAGAATTGGCCTCCACAGTCACTTACGGACTCATTGTTAAAACCCTGTTTATGGAAGACAATCTTACTCGGCTACGAGTGATCGCCAATGAAGAAGAAACATGCGGCCCTCTTCCCTCAGTGTTTGCAAAGATGCAGGGAGAGGAGAGGGGAGAAAGCAAGGGGTAGAAATAAGGTAGGGAGACCAGGAAGAAGAGAAATAAAAGGGAAAGAGGAGAGGAAGAAGGAGAGCTCAAGATAAAGCATAATCCAGAAGTGGAGCAATCTCTAGCAAGCACTATGTGCTGGGAAATTGTTAGTGTCTGGTGTGTGAAAGCAGCTGCTGGTTTCTCTATAGGTATTGCTCAACTGGATGCATTGAAGCACATTGGTAGGTGGGCTTTTCTGACATTTTGCTGGCTGCTGTCTGTCACCACACCCCCTACTTCCATGTCAATCAGTCCAAAGGAAAAGATGCATCCAGCCTTTTTCCATCGGTTGTTGTTGAAGCTTTGCTTTTAACAGCAGCCTTGTCTGCAAACAATAGCAGGCATGTTTTTGTTTTTTTTAATGCACAGCTCTCTAAATTCTCCCTTTTGTTTTGTTTTTTGATGTGCTGCTTTATTATTTTAAGTGACTATTACCTGCTCTCAGATTATATGATTCATGGAGGGGAGTATAAAGTGTCCAAAGCTGTAATCCTTCCCCCATTTACCTGGAAGTAAGCCAGCCCTGTATTCAAGAGGACTTACTTCTTTCAGACCAGGTTAGGACTGTATCGATTTAGCCTGTTGGAAGGGGACCTAATCCCCTCCAGATGTTGTTGGTCTTCAGATGCCATCACCTGAGCATTGGCTATGCTGGCTGGGACAGAGTTTGAGCTGAACATCAGATGCAGGGCCACAGGTTCCCTTCCCTGGCTAAGTAGCTATCTGCATTTAAATAGCCTGAGAGCAAAATAGGATGTCTCTGCTTTAAAAGAAACACACCAAAACCCCACAATACGATCATTTCACCAGAAGATGGTGCTAAATAATGCCAAATAATTTCGCTGGACTCACTCTGCTTCCCCCAGCATTCATTTCATAATATTCACGCCAATACATTTTGTTTATATCAGAATTATTTTGTGCTAACATTTTGAAGGCCTTCATTTGCTGATTTTTCAGCAGAAGGACAAAGAGATGTGGGGAGCTCTTTTCAACAAAAATCCAAGGCCTGTGTTTGAATATATATTCAATGTTCAAGTGTACATTGCAAAATGGCACCACACTCTTAAGAGCATTTGTTTGGGTGGGCGCATGTTGTATACATCATAGTAACCAGAAATGTTGGTATTCCAGAAGGAGAAGTCTACATAGACTGAGAAAAGCAGGGAGCCTGTCCACCTGCCCTCCATAATTGGTGCCCCAATGCTTCCTCTTTCACCACCTTTAAAAAAGCCCTGGGTTCAGGTAATAAGAAGAGGCAAGGCTGTAGCTCAGTAGCAGAGCAAGTGCTTTTCGTGCAAAAGGTCGCAGGTTCAATCCTTAGCATCTCCAGGTAGAGAAAGAGTCCTGTCTGAAACCTTGGAAGGTCACTGGCAGTCAGTGTAGACAAAATACTAAGCTAGATGGACCATGGCAACTTCCTATGTTTCTATGTTGTTCATTTTCAATTTAATTTATTTACTGAGCAGTTTTTTTAAATTCTCAGATTTCATACTGTAGGCAGCAGTGAAGTATCATGAAAGCATTCATGCCCAGCTCTAGGCTGTGTGAGTGTGTGGGCATTTGTTCAATAAAAACTTCTAATTTATACAGGGGTTCCACACCTAGGCGGAGAGAATGCAGCTATAAATAAATGTAAAGAAGTGCAGAACTGATACAAATTCTGAATCCTAACTTTAGTTGTTGTTTGGCTGATTAAAAAAAGAAGATAATATTAGTGGTCTATAATTAGATCTCCCCCACCCTATAGCTTTTCTTGAAGAATATCCTGATTCACAATGTGAACCCCCTGAATGGTGGTTGGACTTTCTTGGTACTTCTCTGATTTTTTAAATTTTTTATTAGTGTTGATGTTATTTGTTATTATGGCATTTCTGTGCTATTTTGGTTGATCTTCCGCTCCTGGTGAAATCCTGTGGAACTGGATGAAACTCTTGTAATATGTTTTCAGATCCACCTACTTTTCTGCTGCAGTAGAGATACTGAATGTTTTTTGAATTGTCCCAGTGACTTTAGCCAATTTGTGGTCGTGTGTGTGTGTGTGTGTGTGTGTGTGTGCATTTTTACATATTTACTGTCATGAGGTGAGAAAACACACAACAAAATCAATATGGTTAAGTATTCTCCACTTACCTAAAAGGTGAGAAATACAGGGCAACACTTCATGGTTTCACTTCCTTTGGAGGGGAGAGAGAGCACAGTGGATATTTACGGCATATTAGGTTTATTTGGAATTATACCAGCAGAGCCTAATGAAAGCAAGCAGACTTGTGAAAAGAGACAGCTAAACTGCTGATTCTGCACCAGATTTTCCGAAGCAACAGTGTATTCCCCATAATTTCCAGGCTAGCAAAAATTTTCTCAGCTGTCTCTACGTCTGTCTGTCTCATTTTCAAAGCTGCCACAGACTTTAGGTGCCTGTTCCCAAATTCTGATGGGTATCACATTCCTAAGGCAGGAAAGAAACTGCAGGTCATTAAAGTACCCCTTTTTACATCCCTGGTCATGGTTGTGCCCAGTTTGTTGGGCACAACCATGACAAGCCCATTTATGCTAATCCAAAAAAGAAAAAGCTACAATCGCCACACCATTAAAATAACGGCACTGCCTTTTATGCTTGAGAATGCTGACCACTGAAGGAAACGATGGGTCATGTTCATTTATTTTTTTTATTAACCTTTTCAAAGAATTGCTCCAGTTCTATAAGACTTAATAAGACGCCGAGGCTAATAACAGAAATAAACTAGCAAGTGAGATTAGTAAATGAATGGAAAATGTGGCAGAGAGATTTGTGTTAACCCTCATGTTAACATAATGTTAAACATAATTACATTATTTTGATTCAGGAGTGCCACATCTAAAACCCAAAAGAGGAAACCATGTAAATGTCAGGAATCTCATTAACTTTTTTTTACTATTTTTTGTAAATGCCTATTAATAATTCGGATTTCAAGCTGCAGCCATGCTGATTTCACTGGACACTTAGCAGATCCACTCTTTAGATCATTAAGGATGAATACTTATACTATGGCATTGAGCTTGAGCACCGGATGCTATGCATTTCTTTAATCTGCAACTGTAAATTCTTTTCCTTAATCATCTGAAATGATGCCATCAGGTTAGTCTTCATGATATAGTACAAAAGATTCATTTAAAGATAGGCAGCCCTTGTCAGTCTGAATTTATTGGCTCTGAATCAGGTCTTCCAGGACCTAGAGTCTAGCCTTTCCTATGCAGGGGTTTCCAAGGGTCTTGATCACATTGGTGCAGTCATTCACAAGCCAAAAACCTCCTATGTCTGCAGCACTCCTCTCAAAGTAGGCTCTTCCCCATCTCTCTCTCTGTGCAGGAGAGGGAAGAAGGGCCCAGTCTCCACCAGAAGAGATGCAACAGGCATCTAGATTTGCACAGCATTGTGATGACTGCAGCTTCCATAACAATGTAACACACAAGTGTGAAGGTCCAAGGCCTCAGGAGCTGCTTGTGGCTCTCCCAGTGCAGTTTAGGCGCATTGATAGGACTGATGCAATCCACTCCAGACAGTTTGTAGCAGCCTTGGAGGATTCTGTCCTAAGGTATGTACCACTTATTTAATTGGCATACAACAAACCTGTGGCTTGACGTGCCTGGGGATCCATCTTAAGCTTTCTGGAATCAAATTAATCCTCTGGAATCCTGAAAGGGATCCGCCCAGGGAGACCCTCAAATCCATCCCCAGAATCCAGTTATTTTTAGAATCTAGATTCGTTGGAAGACACAAAGTGTTGAACAAGCATACGAGAAGGTTCCGCACGGAGAGATCTTCTTGCTTGACTTCGCTGGCCTCATTCTTAATTCATCTAGGTTTCGCTCTGACATCATCCAAGTTTCATTTGCTTTTCTTCTTGTAAATGTCAAGTATTACTACGGAGTCACCTGTGAAATGGCATAAGCAAAAGAAGAAAAATGGCTTACTGGTGAGATGAATGATAACAATCCAAACACAACTTGATTTTGTTCCATACTGGGGGAAAAGAAGTGAACTCACTTCGGGGCCAGCAGCTGACAGCCCTGGAGCAAAATCGCCCCTGAACGGAGCCAACAGCCACTCTCTGCACTGCCAAACTAGAAGTAAGAGTGAGCTGCAGGAGAAAGTGTTGCTGGTGAGCCACAAGAGACTGGGAGAGGCAGTGCCCTTTGCTCCCGTTTCAGAGTAGCTCTGCAGCAAGATTATCTGCTAACCAAGGTGTGTGTGGGGGGTCTCACTTCCCCCATGAACAGGCAATCTTATCCACAACTGAGAGACAGACCACCTACTTCAGCAACCCCAAGTTGGTTGGGGGGTCCCATTAACTCCCTAGCACATGGCCCATAATAATCTAGTTTTAGGGTGATTTTGCACATTTACTGACCATGCGAAAGACTGAAGTTTGTTCCATGCATCTTATCTCTATCATGCATACAGGAACACGTGACCAGGGATAGCCTCCCTCTGAAAATGGTAATTACCGGAACTTGCCCCTTCACATATGCACCTGCATGCATGGTGACTATAGGCTTTCTGCTTATTACTAACCTTGCTTGCTAGTTCACTTCTGCTTTTAGCCTCAGTGCAATGTCTTCTTATCATTTATAGCACTGTACCCACCTACCACCCATGGGGGGGAAATTACAACTAGGGCCTGGCAAGTGAATGTGCAAGTTCTACTAGCCCTGATTTAACTGTGAGGAATAAGAATCAAGTGACCAGGCAGGGAACTGAGAGAAGCCAAGGGAATTTATTTTCTTTCTTTCCTCCCTTCCCTTTTTAACCTTTCGATGTGCCACCAATGTATAAGAGAAGAACATGTGCAAACTAATTTTTAAAAATGGTAACTTTTGAGGATTTGTTTACAAGACTGGACTAACCCCAAATCATGCGGACGAGGAATTCTCCTGTGTTGTAGCAAAAGAGAGTGAGGAAAACGCTCCCCACAAAAATGGCAGCTATGCCGGGTGCACTTAGCTTTTCAAAGAGAGGGTACACCCACTTCCCAGTCACCGAGTAAATCCACAGAGACCTAGAAAAGAATGCATTTTAGTTTGGACATCTTAAGTTAGAACATAGCATCCCAGCTGGGCTTGCCGTTTCCTTGGGAAGAATGTGGCATCTAAGGGCCAAAGTACAAGCTAGGACAAACATTTAAAAGGCTTGCTCAAACTGTACATTGAAGAAGAAGAAGAAATGCAGTCATGGGGTTCTAGCTCAGAAGGTGTTCTAGTTTCTTTCCCAAAATTGCCGCCATTACCCTGCCCCAGCTGCTTTTAGCCCTTGAAGACACATTAAGGGGCCAATAGCTTGGGTGAGATTATTGGTTTTGGGGTTTTTTTAAACACACCTGCATTTATTCACAGGTACACAAACACCTAAAAGATCTTTTTCTCTGCCTGTGGTAGCCAGATGTTTTGTTATGCCGATCTCTATGTGGGTACACCATTTAGTGAAAGAAAACAGCAAAAACATAAATGCAAGTCGTCTGACATGGTAAATTTTAGGTAAAGGGGTGGGGGGTAAAGAGCTAGTTCTGAGGAGGTAGTTCATCCCCTAAATACTCTTGTCTGGGATCCAACACCAGACTTGAATGGCAGAGGGCTTGGGCACCAGCAGAGGCTAAGAATATTCAAGCCCTTCCATCCAGGTTCAGAGGATAACATTCAACCCCCCCACCATGATCACACTGCCACATTGCATTAGGATGAGCTTCACCTATGGGCCAGAAGTTCCATTCCTTCAGGAATACGGACACCTTCTTAAAAGCGAGTTTTCTGGGGGAATCTCGAAGGGCCTTGCTCCATGCTCACAACAGCCAAACTAATAGACAGCACAAATCACAGCAAGCAAACTCGTGCATGGGAAAGGAATTTCAATAAGCGGCATGAATAATCTCATTAAGTTTAGGATCTGATTAGGCTAAAAAGGCCCCTCACGAGGCCTAATGTATGGTTGTATAATGCACTTGTTCAACAGTTCCAAAGCTTCTCTAAAGTCTGATCAGGAGTCTATTGTAGCTGAATAGTCGGGATTTCTTTCAGCAGGGTTAAGCAAGGACCGTCTTTTCAACAGAGGACTTTGTGGCTGCATGTAATAACTAGGTGAGAGAAGGCATTCCCTCTTGGCTTCCTGCCTGTTACAGAGGGATGCCAAAGCATCATGTGAAAGAGACTTTATTCATTAAAAAAACAAAGATCTTACCAACAGCCATAGGCAGCACCCCCAATTACTAATATGCTGATCCCTTTTCCCTTTGATGGAGAACGATGTGGGGTAATCAAGAGGTCCATCAGGGACAACGGTAATATAATAGTGTGCTGGGAAGAAAATACAGTGCGTCACACAAAATTGTACTCGTGTTGAATTTATGAAACTCACCATTGCTTACAATAAGGTGTACAGAGCTTTGGCCTGGCCTTTCTAACGCGAGTCTTTCAGCCAATGTCCTGATTGGCTGTTGGCTGAATGTTCTATGTGGTAACGTTCTGGGGCAAAGACAATGGGCTTTTTGTTCTTTCAACCAGAGGATTAAAACAAAAACTCTGCTATTGATTCTCAATGCCTTATTTTAAGGGATATCCTTTCCTTTAGAGCAGTGTGTCCCAAACTTGGGTCTCCAGCTGCTTTTGTACTACAATCCACACCATCCCTGACCACTGGTCCTGCTAGGAGATGGGAGTTGCTCCAAAAACAGCTGGAGACCCAAGTCTGAGAAAACCTGCTTTAGAGGGTTGCTTTGTCCTATATACTACCGGGCCTGTCTTTTTCAGGAAGAAAGGAGATGGGGTTCATGAAGCTGGCAGATGCCTGGATTTTAGCACCTCTGCTCTTTCCCAGAGGAATTCCTGATATCAGAGGCTGTGTCCCATAGCATCAAGGAAAGGAGACACCCTTTCCCCTGGTCTAACCTAGACTTTTGCACCACCCTTGCTTTTGACAGTCAGGATACCCTATGCTGAGTGCCTTCATTCCTTGGCAATGCTGCCAACTTGGTAACAGTAGGTGGAAGGGACGGGGAATAGCTAACACACCCACACCCCAGCCTCAGAACTATTAGGGTAAGGCAACAGTAGAGAGTTTTAATGCGTGCACTGCTGCTATAGCCGTATCTTGCTCTCAACTTTTCAGCATGTACAAGGAAGAAGGGCCGTTGCTCAGTGGTAGAACATGTGATTTGCATGCACAAGGTCCCAAGTTCAAACCCCAGCTTCTCCAGGTAGGGCTGAAACACCTCTGAAACCCTGAAGATCCATCAGTTAGTGTAGACCAGGGGTAACCAATGTGGTGCCTGGCACATGTTGCTGGACTACAACTCCCATCAACCCTGACCATTGACCATACTGGCTGAAGCTGATGGGAGCTGAAGTCCAATATTTGGAAGGCATCACACTGGCTACCCATGGAACAATGCTGAGCTAGAGGCAACTTCATATGTAACTTCCCCTAGAAAACAGGAAGGTACGCCTCACTTAAGGTCACCATGATCCAATAGTAGAGGCTAGGGAACTAGCTTATGCAGTGGTACCTTGGTTCTCAAAAGCCTTGGTTCCCAAATGCCGAAAACCCGGAAGTGTGTGTTCCGGTGTTTGAACGTTTTTCAGAAGCCAAACATCCGATGCAGCTGTCAGCTATTGTTTCTGGGGCATCTGCACCAATCAGAACCTGCGCCTTGGTTTTCAAACATTTCGGAAGTCAAACAGACTTCCGGAACAGATTAAGTTTGGACTTTTGTTTTTGCTATTTATTTTGCGTTTTTGATTTTGAGGCTTTTTCAGTTAATTTGTTTTTGTGACTGTGTGGAACCCAGTTCAGCTACTGAATGAATGTGTGACTATGGAAATGGATAAAAGCCCCCCATCCAAACAATGACTATCGTCGGTGTAGTAAGATTTTTTTTATTTTTTTTTTATCATCTACAGTACTGTCTTACTTATTTTATAGTACAGTAAAATGATTATTGCTTTCATTTTATGGATCAATGCTCTCATTAGATAGTAAAATTCATGTTAAATTCCTGTTTTAGGGATTGTTTTTAAAAGTCTGGAACAGATTAATCCGTTTTGCATTACTTTCTATGGGAAAGCACACCTTAGTTTTGGAATGCTTTGGTTTTGGAACAGACTTCCAGAACGGATTAAGTTTGAGAACCAAGGTACCACTGTACAGATATAGATAGATGGTGCATTTTAATAATAATAATATCCTGTCATTCCATAGTGCGTGCTCTATATTTTTAGGTTCACTTGGCTCTGGCGATTGTACTATTTCTAGAACCTTCGTATGTTTTGCCTGTTATTGCAAAACACAGAAGTACTGCATGATTGACTAGTTATTGCAAAGCTTTCCATTTGCCACTGGCTTTCAATTAGCTCTCTAAATGAACTCTTTTTACTAGACAATGGAAAGCTGACTGCAGCAATGGCATTAGTAATGGACCATATACTGCAACTTAAAACTAGTTGAAAGCCCTTTAAATGCATTTTGTTTTTTTCTCAGGCAAAGTGGTCCCTACTCATAGCAATTTTTAATATGACTCCAGTCACACCACACACCATGAGTCATTAAAGGCAATTAAACTTCATTGCCACTATAATGTATTGTTTAATCTAGCATTCATTCAAATAAATGCAAGCTTTGTTCTTTAAGCAAATAATTTAAAAAACCTGTTTAAAAAGCAAGTCTTAATAATTAGGCCTGGATTGACACCAATCTCCAAGGGTTGGCAAAAATGGCTGGAAACAGTGACTCATTCTTGTATTTTCCATTAACAGTTTTCTTTTCAGCTTCACTTGTAACAAGTGAAACTGAAAAAGTAAAACAATTATCACAGAGAGGGGAGAAAAGGCATTATTTCTCAGTCCTCCCCCTCCCACACTCTAAAAAACAAAAACAAAACCAAACCCCAAACCCACTAATTTGAACAAAAGCTGTATGTAATGATTTTGCTGTTAATGAATGGGTTGCTTAAAATACTGTATTACGTTCCGACTGCTTATGAAAGTTTTTTTTTACTTTGAGTTCTGTATTACTTTGTTTTGATTTATTTACTGATACAAGTTAATTAAATGCTTTGCTTTCTGAGGGAAAGCATATTAGTTTTCCACCCTTACTGAGATGGCATAATACGATGCTAGCAGTTTCAGTTTACAGTGGTACCTCGGGTTCAGAACTTTATTCGTTCCGGAGGTCCGTTCTTAACCTGAAACTGTTCTTAACCCAAGACACCACTTTAGCTAATGGGGCCTCCTGCCACCGCCGTGCGATTTCTGTTCTGTTCTGAAACAAAGTTCTTAACCCGAGGTACTATTTCTGGGTTAGCAAAGTCTGTAACCTGAAGCGTCTGTAACCCGAGGTACCACTGTATATATAAATATTGAACGGAAAAGGTTTTCTTGGGGGAATCTACGTTTGTCTGAGGCAGTGGTTCCAAATGTCCAACCCTTAGAGAACGCTTTCCAGATAGAATTGCCTGTACTGGTGGTGTCTCTGCAGGTCTGCTATAGAACCCCTGAACACTGCAAAGGATTCTGGGAAGTGGCACACAGTCAGTTAATATGGAGTGTTGGCCAGGTTTGATGGGCCATACCATCATCGCTCACAGTCAGGGCATTCTACAATGCATGCAACATTCCCTAGGGGGCACTATGGGGCTGAGGCCTCTACAGCCCGCCCCTCCATGTCTGTTGGGATGGGGCTCTGGCACGCAAATGTCGCATCAGGAGGAGGCCTGGTCCCATCCCTGGATATGCATGGTGGGTGGTGTTGGTAGGTATGAAACTTCCTTTTCTTACAGATGAAGTAGGTAAACAGTTAGCAAGTGAAGGACAGCATCACAGTAGGTTGAAGGTTTTCCCTGCCCTAACCCTCCCCATACAAATATTACTGATTATTCACAGATGTGAACAAGTTCTCTTGAATCAAGTTCCAGTGTACGTGGGGATATGTTTTGCCTTCCTTCTCCCTGCACTGGCACATGGCGGTTATCTAGTAAGGCAAGTTTGGGGCAATGTGATGGTGCTTAGCTCTTCTTAACTCTTGTGCCTACTTCAAAACTTCACAGATTTGTTCATAAGGGAACTTGAATCGCTTAGAAATTTCTGGTTTTCTTAGGAAGCACGGAAAGAACAAATCTTAGCTGAAGGGATCCATCATTTAGCTCCATGCCTAGGTTGAATAATTCATGCAGAATGATTTGCCCATTGAGCGAGTGTCACATCACTTCTGAAAAATGGGCTCATTCTAACTTCTCGGAAACATAAAAGATTTAAGCTATGACTTTTTTATGTTTTGTTTGTTTAAACAGGTTCATAAGGCTTGTGGCTGCTATCCTGCACCGATTTTCCACATGTGCCAATGGAAGTGCCTCAGTCCCACCATGCCATACTCTGCTGGTGTGAGGATAATGTTAGAGGAAACTAACATTATAGGGTGTCAAGAGGTCAGATCATAAAAATGGGTCTTTATGTAGCACCCATCTATGTTAGTAGCCTATAATGGCACTGAGTAGGGAATCCAGGCTGAGTCTTGGATATGATTGCTGTTTCATTTGTTTTGGTTCTTATGACTCATTGCCCTTCTTCCACATGACTAGCATTCCAGAGGAGCGAGTGATGCAAACAAACCCATTTGTGCAGACGATAAAGGCAGAATTTGGGTTGTCACTGCAAGGAATATTGATCTTTTCGTAGCACTGTCCTGAGTAAGAGCCAGTAGCCTCATTCACTACGGAAGGTTGATAGAATCAAGCTTGAACGTCTTGAGTATGATGGTTATTTCATTCATTTAGGCTCTTACGATTCATACTGAACTTTTTCACCCACCTATTCCCAAGACGACATGTCGTGAATTCTGCACACACCCACAGCTTCTATTTTACTGGTAGCATCTTTGCCCAGAGCAGTAAAGATTCCTCCCCCCCCATTTCCTTTCATTTCTGTTTTTGGCTAAAAATGAAATTTAAAATGTAAGATGCAGGAGTCAGCCAGCCATCATTTTTGCACTGCTGCTTGTTGTTTCTACTCACATTTGCTGCTCGACTGGAGAGCTCCTGCTACATACCTTTTTGGATTCTTTTACTCCGTTCTAAAAACCACCAAACATTCATTTGTATTCCCAGACATTCTGCATTGTATAACACTCTGTTTACAGCAACAGCACTCTCATTCTTTTATATGCACTGCAGTAACCTAGAAAGTGTCTCTCTCTCCCCACCCTATCCTGCCACCCCGTTTAATGACTTCACATCTTTCAATTGACTTACACTTGGCAAGCAACAATTCACTGATATTTTCCCCTATGCTTTAAGGCTTTCTTTAGCAATTCACATGCCTGCTCATTGCCCGTCTCGGCTTAAAGAGAAAGCAAGGAAGCTACAAATAAAAATTTGCAGAATCTGGGCATGTTCCTGCCAAAGTTACCGTAAGCACATCTTATTAAATTTGATGAGAGAGATTAAGTATATATTGACTCTCCCACCGAGATCAGTAGGAATTAAAAGTGCATAATTGGCTGGATCATGTCTGCTTTCTCTTGCATCCATCATGCGATGTTTGAATATTTATTGCAAATTGCCTTTGTTCCATTTTGCTGTTGTTGCTTTACATTTTACTCACCATAGCATGATTCAGCCATAAAGGAAGGACGGCATCAAGGCTCTTGGGATAAACAAGCTCCCGATCATAAAGGTATAGTGCCCAAAACAACGTAAACACTGTCTGAAACGGAGTATTAAAAGAAAAAGGTGATGAATTTATCTAACACAAGCATCTAACAAAGTACTTTCCACTTCTCTCAGATAGAGGACTGTGGCAAGCTTCTTCCTGTCACAGCACTCCAGAATAATGAGTTGTGAAATGAGGGGCTGGGATTCACTTATGCAAGGTTTCAAACAGTATCACAACAGTATGTATTTTATTATTTTAGAAATCATTTAGTGCTGTAACCAACTCTGGGCCACAGAACCTACATAAGCTTTTAGTCCTGGAAAATGTGATGTACAGGCGACAACCATTTTGTGAGGGGGTTCTGTTCCTGGCCCCTGCGCACATTGGCAGAGCGTGCATAAGCCCTCTCCACCCTGTTACTCCCCTACCACATTCCTCCCTCTTCTGGGCCCAAAAGGATCCATGTGTTGGCGGCCGTATGACAATTGGATGCACCTTAAATGGTTGCCCCCTGTAGCAAAAAAAAAGGCAACATGAATCTTCACATGACTTTCTCCACATGTTCAGTGAATGTGTGAGGGCGGAGAGGGGTTTCTGCCTGCTGGCCATATCAAGTGCCCCTGAGCAGTCCAGAGGGTTACTCTTCCTACACTGGGTAATCAAAGCCAGTTAACACATATACAGCACTAGACTGACAGGCTTCCTGAAAACTTCAGTGTTCCCCAAAGTCCTGAAATTCAGAGCAAATACAAGAACTGTGCTCAGATTATGTTTACTACAACTAATAATAATTATGCATTTATAAAATCATATTGATTGCCTTCTGTTTGGGTACAAAGAGTGCTGTATGATTAAAAGCACACTAGCCATTAAAAAAACACCTATGCAAGCAGTTGTCTAATTACTTTTCCTAGGGATGCTCTCTCCTTCGCAATGTTCGATTTGGGAAGAATTTTGTTACTTTTCTCTCACCTCCGCAACATGCATTTAAAGTAGGAGAGCTGTAGTATACCCTTCCCAGAGCTACAATTTCCCAGGATTCCTTGGGGAAAGCCATGTTCTTCAACTGTTATCTTTGGCAAAGACTGGCATGAGCAGGGAAAGAGGGAAAGCTGTGAAGACCACCAGGAGCTGCTTTCTGGGCTAAAAATCCACAAAGCCCAGTGAAAACTATTCAGACCTCATATACAGTGGCACTTTTTCAGCTGGTCTGTCTGGGATCTGTTTTATACTGAAGATGCCAAGGATGCAAAGCATGGACACCATTGCCAAGCAACGGGCCCTTCCACTGGGTGAGAAAGCCAGTAAGGTCTTTATAGTATGAACAATAACCAGATGGGGAGAAAGAGAACTGTGATTTCAACCCTTCTATCAGAAATGGCCTGAACTTATTTGCTGCATGAGGTGAAGGACAAGATTTCCCCCATCTCTGTTCTATGCACAGAAGCCAATTAAACTTATTTCAACACTGGTGAAGGAATAGTGTCCTTTACTAGGCAGCAGCTTAGTTTGGAAGGGCCAAGACAGGCTGTATAGCATACCCAAGTCTGTCTTTCCACAGAGGAGAATGACAGAAGGGCGGGGGGTAGGAGGGACAGCCAGGGGGCTGTTGCTGCTGCCTCCGTCCCACTGTAACTGCTGCCTGTGGCAGTCACCTCACTTTGCCTAACAGTAGGACAGTCTCTGTCTTTGATGATGATCAGATCTACCTTCTGCTTCTCCAAGCGGCTTAACGACAAACATCGCCCTCATTCATTAAGAACAGGCTTTAAGCCGAAAAAGTGAATATTAGCTATTGAGAAATCTTTCTCAATGGGTGCATTTCAACACAAGAAAAATAATTACAGCATCAGTTGTGCTTTCTTGGCCTTGTTTTCTCTGCTGAGTGTGAGTCCACATTAGAGCAAACCAGGGACACAGGAGCTGAGAAAGGATGTTCTCCTACTAAAAATAGTATGCATTGTTTATAATCAGAAGCAAGTCCGTCTCTACACTTAGTGATCCCTCACACCTGGTGATCCCTCTACGGGAGTAGAAAAAAATGGCTTTGGAAACAGTACACTCTGCTCATTTTTCGCCAAAAGAAATTGTCTCAATTTTACCTGACTTTCCTTGCTTGCATTTTCACAGGTTTAAAGTGGAGTATTAGTGTCTGATGCTTACTCTACTACATAGCTACACATGAATTATTTTTTCATACTAAACATGGGACGCTTCAAGTGAAATGTGTTTAACTGAGGCTGAGGTTCAGTTCAGGCATATTTTGGCAATATGCAGCAGAAAACAGAAGTGTGAGTATAAACACACCCACACATATCCCTTCTGTTGCATGTTGTAAGATGCTAAATGGCCCTTAAGGTGCTTATCTGGATTTTGGAAGTCGGCAGATAAAAAAAGGTAAAAAGGGGTCCCTGGATGTTTAAATCCAGTCAAAGGTGCAAAGGTTGCAGCGCTCATCTCGCTTCAGGCGGCATTTGCCCACAAACAGATTTCCAGATTATGTGGCCAGAACAGCTAAACCGCTTCTGGTGCAACGGAACACCGTGATGGAAGCCAGAGTGCACGGAAATGTGATTTACCTTCTTGCCACGGCGGTACCTATTTATCTAATTGCACTGGTATGCTTTCAAACTGCTAAGTTGGCAGAAGCTGGGATAGAGCAACAGGAGCTCACCCTGTCGCAAAGATTTGAACTGCTGACCTTCCGATCAGCAAGCCCAAGAGGGTCAGTGGTTTAGATCACAGCACCACCCACTCCCTGATAAGGCAGCAGGTAATATTCATTGGGAAAATAGGAAGTTAGATATAGAGATACAGAGTACATCTAGGTTGATATTGTCTGCAATGATCTGCAACAGCTCTCCAGAATTTCAGATGGGGCCTTTGCCTGCTCTACCTGGAGATGTCAGGAATCAAACCCTCTTTCTTTGTTTCAGTTGCCTTGCTTGGTTTTTGAAAACATGAAGCAGTTGTATTCTATAACACACTAAGTGTCTTTCAGGCAATTATACGGTATATGCTGTTTATATATACTGCTACTATTACAGTATCAATAAAATAATAGTAATAATGAACTATCTTTAATGAATTCTCATTAGTAATAATGTGTTATCATTCATGAGTTATCATTACTTAAAGCATCGTTGGCTCAGAACAATCCTTCCAAAGTAACTAGCGCTTGTCTTCTAATAGTGGCATAATAATGATGATTATGTGTATTTGAAACTCACCATGGAGGTAGGAAAGGCCAGGCTGCCAAAGATCAAGTCTCTGAAGGGGAACATGGACTTAGCAAGTCGCAGTTGCTTCATTAGTACCAGCGCGTCAATCAGCAAGGAGATCCCGAAGTAAACAGCCTGCAGAACCTAAATTAATTACAGCTAATGAGAAGATCTTCATCCATTTTTAATTGTGCACACCTCAATGAACTCTTAAGAAGGCAGTTTTCAGGGTGAACCATGAATCAGCACTGTGGAAAACGCCACTAGCTATATCTATCTTATTTACTGAGAGTGTTTTAATAAATTAGTTTGGGTGGTAAACTTTAACATTGTATTGTTTAATAGACTTATATAATGTTTTATGAGAACTAAGTAGCTTTGTTAGCATCAATGTGCAAAGATCCACTAATTAAAAAAAAAAATCACCTCTAGGGAGTACTATAGCTTATCTGCAAGGTAGAAGTACAGCTATAGACAGACTCTAAAGCTGTGTACACACTGTCATTTACTCTGCATCCAGTGTGATCCCACTTCTAGTTTGGAAAGTGGTGTACACACAATGTTAGTCACAATCCAGCTCCATCCTGTCATTTCTTAGAAAATACTGCATTTTGATGTGCTGTTCGCCAAACCCGCTTCAATAGGAATTGAGGGGGGAAATGGCCAACTGTATTGTAAGCTGGTGATATGTACACAGCCTTAGCAGAGGTCACAAAGGAAATAAAATATTCTAAGTTACATGAGAGACTGCAATATAAATAAATGAAGGAACAACATTATACGTGAAATTTCAGAGAGGATAAGTTTAGTCTTTATGCCAATCGTGTTCCGGAGCATAAAGCAAGGTGTTCCAATGGGTAGGCCTCCACTGACAGTCACATTCACACCATATATTTAAAGTACATGCCTTCCTTAAAAAAGCTAGGAACTGTAGTTTACCCCTCACAGAGCTACAGCTCCTAACACCCTTAAACTACACGGACTGCATGAAGGGGTACAATATGTTTTTGTCCTCTTAGCTTAAGTCACAAATCTGGCTTAATGGTTTATGCATGTATGAAAAAGTAAAAAAAGTTGTCAATTGCAAAGTGTTCAACTGCAGAAAAATAGTAGCGTAGGGTATACATTAGCAGAGACTTCCTAACTTTATGATCAGTCCAACAGCAGAAAAACGACCAAGGCACAAAGAGCTGCCTTAGGTATGCCTGTGTCTTGGAGTTTGCATCTCCCCTGCCTTTGAACAGCAGATTTTGGACTCCCTACCATATCACACATTGCGTTTCAGTGTTGTTGTTTTTTAATCCGCAACAATGAGTCTTGTGATACTTGAAAGACTAAGAGCTTTATTCTGGCATTTGCTTTCACAGAAAGCAATCTGCTTTTTCAGTGTTGATCTGTTAAGGTGCCACAAGACAGTGTTGTTCCTGCTCCAACAGATTAACGCAGTGGCCCCTCTGAAACTTTACTTGGGGGGGGGGAGGAAAATCTATAGCCCTCCAGATGATGACACCATCCCTGACCACTGCCCAGGAAAAGCAGAGGCACCTGCACAGCAAGGGATGAACATAAGCAAAAGCAGTTAACACAGATTTTAGAAGCAAATTAGATCTGATGGCCAAAGACCCATGGAGAGAGGGAGACCCAGCCGGGTGCGCTTCTGAATCCCTAGGAAATTATGGAGGGTGTGTATAATTTAAACTGCAGCATGGGGTGGAGGATTCAACACATCTCCTGCACAATTACTACTATTACACACTATCCACAGCTTAGTAAAAGCTACCCCCCCCCCGTGGTCTCTTGACACTGGAATTAACTTGTGCAAGGTACTGGGGTGGATTTAAAAAAGTCTTTTTGGTGGGAAACCACAGGCAGGAAAAGCGTTCTGCTTCCCTGCCCACATAGAATCGTAGTTGGAAGAGACCCTGAGGATCATCTAGTCCACCCCCCTGCTGTGCAGGTAGCACCCCCTGGCCAGCCCCAGAGACACAATTTGCCTGGGGAGCTTGTAGCCAGGGCTGTTGCAACGAACAGCTATGCAAGCCTTTGGGAGGCAGAGATGCAAGAGGGCATCAGAGGAGGGAGGAACGGAAAGAGGGACAGAGGCCAGTGTTGCTCGCAACAACCCCTGACCACCATTTCCATGCACCCCAGGGTGCCACGGCACACTGGTTGAAAACCACTGCCCTACGGGGATCAAACTTGCAACCTTGGCATTACCAGCACCATGCTGTAACCAACATGGCTGTCGCGTGCAAAATGGAGCAAGCTTGTTTTCTCCTGCTCCAGAGGCCAGGACCGAAACTGATGGATTCAAGTTACAGGAAAGGAGATTCCAACTAAACAGCAAGAAGAACTTTCTGACAGTAAAAGCTGTTCCACAGTGGAACAGATTACCTCTCCTTCCTTGGAGATTTTTAAGCAGAGGTTGGATGGCCATCCATCACAAGATGCTTCAGTTGTGATTCCTACATTACAAGGGGTTGGACTAGATGACTCTGGGGATCTCTTCCAACTCTACAATTCTATTACTTCCTGCTAGGGTTGCCACCTTTGCTTTGGCAAAATACAGGGCAGGGCAGGGGGGTAGGCGACCCCCCCCCCCAATCTGGTGCTGAAGTGACTTCAGAGCAACCCATTGCAATCTATTGCAGCCTAACAGGACAGCCCCTCTGGAATTTGTCACCCAGGCATGCACGCACACGCACACACACACACACACACAAAATTGCAAATCTGCCTCTGCTTTGCTACACAGAGTTTAAATACAGTGATCTTTCACACAGAGTTTCAAATGCATGCATTTGCAGAGGACTCCACACTCCACAGCTTGGCAGAGAGAGAGAGAGAGAGAGAGAGAGAGAGAGAGAGAGAGAGAGAAAACCAAACCTGAAATACAGGTCAAAACTGTAACAAATACAGTACATAACATTTCACTTGGAAATGCGGGAAGATCCTGTATTATACAGGTGGCAACCCCAACCCGCGCTATACGTATTTCAAACCCGCCCCTCTCCCCCCGCCCCCTAGTTTCAATGGATGGCTAAGGGGCTTCAGGCGAGTGAAACGTATAACTCTAGCCTAGGTGGGGGGTTCGTGGCCGTGGGGACCCCCGTGACCCTCCTCCTGGGGATTCCCACCCCCTCAGCAGGCGCAAGCTGCCCTTGGACCGCCGCCGGTCTCCTGAAGCGCCGATGGCGGGAAGCGAAAGCAGACTGAGGCGAGAGGGGAAGGCCTGGCTCGGCTTCCGCGCGCGCCGCTTACCAGGTTGAGGACGGTCAGGAACTTCCACGGCCCGCCGTAGGCGAGGATGTTGTCCGGTTTCTTCTCGCCAGGTCCCGTCGCTATCTTGCTGATGAAGGCGACGAGGAACACGTACCAGGCGAGAGCGAGGCCGTGGAAGAGGAAGAGCGAAGAGACCTTCATGGCGCGCGCGGTGGGGGAACCGGCAGCGGCTCCTCCTTCGCCGCCGCGGGAAGCCGAACGGGGAAGCTAGTCAGCGGGCATCACATTGGCAGCAGCGGCCGAAGTTTTGGCTTCCCTTCCCGTTTTCCTTTGCCGCTGCCGTTCGTTCACGTGAGGCCAGGCTTCGACCTTTGGATTTATATGCTCTCCCTCGAGATTACTCGAGGAGATTAAGGGCCCGAGTTGCATAAGTTTTCGCATGTTTTCGAGGAAGGGAGTGGAGCTGGAGGCTTACTGGCGTGGCGAAGTTTTCCTTTGAAGTGCTTTGCTTCAAACAACAACCACCCGCCTCGCGAGTCTCTGTTGTTGCGACAGTAGCCCAGGCCAGAGGTTTTCAACCGGCTCCCTTGACCAACTTTCTTTCTGCAGCATCCCTGTGGGGCTCAGGAACCCAGTTATGCCAACCCTTGCCTGCAGAGCTAGCAGACTCTCACCCTTTTTCAAACACCCTCCTTTGTGGAGTGTTCCCTCAGCCTCCTTTCCCCCTTCCTTGGGAGTCCTCTGGCCTGCTGCTGCCCCTAGTTTCCGAGCTGCGCACCCCCCCAGCCCTGCCCCAAAGAGAGGTGCCTGCCAGAGCTTATGGCCAGGGATGCTGCAGCAAACAGCTGTGCAAGCCTTCGGGAGACTTGAGAAGGCATCGGAGGAGGGAAGGAAGGAAAGAAAGAGGGACAGAGGCCAGAGTTGCCCATGGCACCCCTGGCCATCATTCAAGGCACCCCAGGATGCCACAGCACACACCGGTTGAAAGCCACTGGTCTAGGCACACTTTTGGATATGGTGAATGAAGACCTGAGGTCTGCTAGTAGCAGCCCAGACCTGTTGCAGCTTTGGGCTTTCACAAACACTTCCAGGGTTTGCGGTCTTGTGCATGCTGGGCTGAAAGTGAGCCACACAGTGGGACTCAGAGGACTTGCCCCCCCCATAAGTACTTGAGGGCCCTGGGCCTCCCAAAGGTTAATGGGCATTGCCACTCAAATGGTGTGTGTGTTTGTTGCACTGTGTGATTATGTGGGGCTTACCTGGCCGCCTCCCCCCCCCCATATTTTATTCGAGTTGGCATCCAGGAAACATGTGCAGAGCGACACTCAATATTCCATGTGGGCGCCTGGTGGCTGGTTTGCTTAGCTTTCTCCTTGAACTCCATCCATGCTGGCATGTTATATTAACACATTTTCAGAATGTGCCAAGCAGGTGTAAACCTTAAAGAGCAGGCTGAAGGAACAAAGGTCATGGGTAACGGAGCTTAGGTGTTCCTTTTAACTGAGCTGCTGCTTATACGCTTGTTTGTCTAATCACATTAAATTCCAGACACTGCGGCCAGAGAGGAATATAGTTGTAGTGGGGGATGTGGAGAGAAGCAGCCCACGGCTAACAGGAGTGCTCCAGATAATATCAGTTGCACATTGTACTGATACAAAGATTTTCTAAAGCAGGCCATCACTACTATGCCCGTTCTGTGCCAGGGGCATTTATTCACTGCTTTGTGACTTTTTCAGAGGACTAACAGAGCATGCAGCCTATCAGAGCTCCCCCCCCCAAAAAATGTTAGCCTTTGTGTTCAGTGTTCAAAACTAGATAGGTGCCAGGCGCATTTTGCACTTGTGACCAAGTGAAGATGCCCAGGACCCTGGATGGCACCTGACATCTCCACCATCTGGAGGTGCATGCCTGGGGATCATTGGGTCTTGACCATCCTGTAGAATTCTATCAGATATATTTTATCTGCCTGGTTGGAATGAATTTCAGGAACCAAAATGCTTTTTCTGTGCATCCTGAGCAGGAGCTTTTTCTGTGCATCCTGAGCTTTAGTTACCGGTAATTGTTGTATCTTGTTTTCACTCACGCCACACCATTGCCCCACTCACAGTTGTGAAGAATGTTCTTATGTTATGAATGGTCTGTATCGCCATTAAGAAAAAGAAGTAGGAATAGGCCAATATATATGTGGACTGACCTTGGATCAAGTGACTTTTCTTTAAGTTCTCAAAGTTCTTAACCTAGCCCAAGGTTGTCATCTGAACTAGCCAGATGTTTAACTGAGAATCAATCACAGTCAGTACGTCATTTGAAAAATAAGACTTTAGAGCTGCCTTACCCAAAAATGGCAACTAGACATTATGTTTCGGCGACTGTAACCTTGGCTTAAGGGGGCATTTGTGCCTAGCTGATATATCTGAATTTCTAACACTGTTTGCATTGTATACCTCGTAAGTCCATACACACCTAATGGAGGCTGTGGTTTTGAGATTTGAGTGTTAGTTATACAACTGCCCAGCTTAAGGGATTTTCTAGTGCTGAGCTATGAACGTAACAAGTGTCAGTTTTTCATCTCATGTGGAAGTGCTGTGAGAAGCATGATAATTTCCTGGATGTGAGGGTCAAGCATCTTTTTTATCCATAACTTGTAGATATAGCTCAGACATCCTTAACATAAGCTAAGGGTATGTATGTTCATAGATATCACTGTGGAGTTATCGGATGGTTGCTTAAATATGGCAAAGGAAGCCTCCTACACACAATTGTGTTTATTGATTGATTTATATTTGTACCACCCTTTATCATAAGATCGCAGGGTGGTTCACAGAATAAGTATTGCATATGGAGCCTGTGCAAAGCCAGCATGCATTGCCACCCCTCCCTGCTGATCCTGGGCGGATGAAAGATAGAACTTTTATAGTTTGGATTGCTCTCTGCTAAGGCAAAGAATGCTGTTATGAAATGCACTTCCCATGCAGTGCTGCAATCCAATTTTTTAGATTCATCTGATGGTATTAGTAAGCACGTGGATGGAGTAACACAGTACGGTACTTGGACTTTCGAAAAGCCCTCTTGCCAAAGACTTCCAAGTAAGCTGAGGAGTTGTGGAATAAGAGGAAGTGCCCTCTTATTGATCAGTAACTGGTTAAATAACAAGAAGCAGAGTGTACGGATAAATGGACAATTCTCGCAAAGGAGATATTAAGACATGGGTTTCTCCAAGGAGTTGCATTAGGGAAGTGGTGCTTTTTAACTTTCTCATAAATGATCTGGAGTTAGGGGTGAGCAGTGAGAAGGGCAGGTTTGCTGATGACACCCAATTGTCCAGGATGGTAAAAATAATTTTTAAAAGGTTGCAAGGAGCTCCAAAAGAAGCCCTTCAAATTTGATGAATGGGCATTACAATGAGAAATGCTGTTCAATGTGGGGCTAGGGGTGGGGGAAGTAAAGTGATGCTCAGAGGAACAACCCCCCCCCTTACTTCACATGTATATTGAAGCATCATAGGGTCTAAATGCAGCCAGTGCATTTACATGCAAGAATGAGTCCCATGTTTTCATTTCAGTGCTGAGTTATTTCTAACATTAGATTCCACAATCAATCATGCAATTTCATTTCGTTTCAGTACTTCATGGCTCTGCTGGTTTCTGGTTTCTCACTAATTCTGCAGACTATTCTTATGTTCTTTATCTTTAATAACAGGATGTACTGTACACACATTAGTATAGGAGTCAACTCCTAGGGACCAAGGTCCCTTTGGCCCCCCCAGTAAAATATTTGAGCCCACTCCAAAAATTTACAAAAAGCATCCAAATCTCTGCTGGAAGTGCAAGAAAGAGGTGGGGACATTATACCATATGTGGTGGGGATGTAAGGTGGTAAGATAATTTTGGAATGAGATACATGAGGAAATCAAAAAGATCCTCAGGAGCTCTATTTCAAAAAAACCAGAGTCATACTTATTGAGTTTATTAACAAATGACATACCCAAGTGAGGCGTTCTCAAAGTAAAGGAAGGATTGAACTCTGATTAATAAGAATACACACAGAGGCTTGAACCAGCAAGACTCTGGGAAGGGTGCGTATAATAATCTCTCTCTCTCTACCCCTCGGCCCAGGTCGTTTTATTCACAAAAGAACTTTTTACAGAGTGTTCGTAAGAACCAATCATATACTCTATATTTGTTATAATTCCTCATAGCAATCCCACCTGATCACTACACCCAAGGACAAAAGGAATATATTTTTGTATATAACCACAGCTGCAAGAATACTTATGGCAAGATATTGGAAATCAGAAAAAGTACCGCAAATGACAGAATGGCAAGTTAAGATTTGTGAGTTTGCCGAGATGGCAAAAATGACTGCATCAATCGGGCTGCTCCAATCAAAAATTCTATACAGAATGGGAATGCATAGGGGAATACATGAAGAAATATGGTGTTAAAGCAGAACTCTTAATAGGCAATTGTTAAGTGTGTAAGAACAAAAGAAGTAATTATAATTTAACAGTTTTCATGTTACTCTATTTTATTAAAGCAACTAGAAAGAAATATTATGATGGGAAGATCTCACACAGGTGAAGGGAAGCAGTGGGGAGGAGGGAAGGGTTAGGTTGAATATGGGAAATAAAATAATATATGGGACAGCAAAGGATATAATAGATTCTTATAGAATAGTAATATATTGTAACCAGAATAGAAGTTCAAAAGGGGAAGTAAATGTATTTTTAGTATTTTCGTTATTTGAATAGTTATTATTATTTATTATCGGTAGAAGGCAATGTTAATTTAGGCTTCTTCGTTTTGCTGTCTATAATTTTCTTAAGTCAATAATTAAAAAAACAAAAACAAAAGTTGATGGGCATTGCCATTCAAATGGTGTGCATAATTTGATCGATTATGCAAGGTGAGGCTCATCGGCCCCCCCCCCCCCCTATTTTATTCAGGTTGGCACGCCTGCACATTAGGACACATTGACTGTTTATTTCAACAGATTTGGTTGTTCTTAAGCATGTTCTTAAGATTGATTTGGCAGCCAGCTGTCTACCCTGCTTGTTGGCCATGTAATTGTGGTCTGTTTGATGTTGGAATAAGGCTGGCTTTTAAAAAAGTTTCTTTTGCATTTTCTCTTAATTTCCCAGCAAAGAATTCCATTCTGTGCAGCATTCAAAGATTCCTAGATTTCTTTGTCACATGCTTCAGATTTCTTCCTACCAGCAAATTCTGGCTGTTCTTATAGATTTTTAGTCACTGAATTAATCATCAAAGGAGAAAGCTTGTTCAGGGCTAGCAAATCAATATTTTGCTCAGCCATTCTGAATTCTCCCATGTTCTTTCTGATTAAAACAGCCTGACTCTTCATTTGTTCAAGCGCTCCACTTAAGCATCCTGTTCTCTCAGCTGACCTCAATAAGCAGCGAGCCTGATCTTAGCAAACTTGTCCTACAAGTTTCTTTCGTCGGTTTTTGGGAATGAATTTTTGTTTCACGGGTCAAAGGCTATAGCTCAGTTATGGTGCACATGCTTTTCACACACATCCTGTGGCCTTTAGTTGAAAGGCTCTGCTTGAGACCCTAATGCATCACTGCCAGTCACAATACTCAATCCTGGGCTAGATGGAGAAGTTATTTGTTTCTTAGTGGCAGAGTATGTTTTTCATGCTCAAGCCCCCTTCACCGGTCTTCAGCAAGTGAGTTGTGACCTGCAGGTGGATCACAAGCCCATACTAGGTGGGTCAGAGCAAAGCTGTTGCCACCATATTGGATTCCACCTTTGGATAACCAGACCAAAAAAGGGCACTATAAGGAATGTGTAGACTAGGATCCAAGTGGGCTGAAAGCAAAGAGTAAGGTTACCATAACTTCCATCATAAAGCTTCAGTATGCTGAT